GAAATTTTTGTACTCTCTATCTTGTAATTTGTAATTTTGTAAAATTTTACTTTACTCTTAAATAAAGTTTGTGCAAAACTACCGCACGTAAAAATAAAAAAAAAAAAAAAAAAAAAAAAAAAAAAAAAAAGGTATATCAAAGCTGAATCAAATATTTAATCGAATCAATAAAAAAAATATTTAAGAAACATGAAAGCTGTTTTACAAAGTAAACAATGTCAGAGGCGACTTTTTTTTACTAAGAAAAACACGCTTGCGAAGTTCAGAAACCTTTTCTTTTAAAAGTTTCAGGTTCGGTTGTTTCGGATCGCAGTGATCGAATATTTGGTTTTTTTACTTTTTGGGTCGGTCGCAAGAAAATTAAAATTTTTGTTTTACACAAAACCAAATTCAGTAATTTAATGAATCATATTCACAAGGAGAAATTTTTAGAGCATACTTTTGAACAAATTATTGAAAAACCAATGATTGTACAATTATTGAAGTACAAATTTGGATAAAGTTGGGAATATTAATTTTTTTTTCGAATTCGATGCGATGTTTTTATTCAATTCAACATTGAAATTCGATTTGTAAAATAAATAAAAATAAAATAAAAATAAAAATTGCTGAAGGCAGTGAAAAAAAGAACGAAATCGTGAAATTTTGATTCTATACAAGGATTTTTTAATCATAAAGGTAAACTATTTTTCCTTAAATATGTTAAATCTACTAAAAGGTAGTGGATATTTATTTAATAAAAGATGATCAAATTTTTATGGTACAGTAAAGTTGCATAAATAACATCCTTTAAATGAAAATAATATGGTATAGTATGTATAATATGGTTTTTTTCATAAATGTATAGTATTAGAAACCATACAAGTATGGATGAAAATCATACATTTAAAAAAAGAACCCATACTATACAGATAATACCCAAATAATATCTCGTAGCTTCGATAATAAAGTATTATAAGGTTATCTTTTTTTATTAAAAAACTTTAATGAAGGGAAATTTGATTTGAATTCGATTGATCACCTCACATGTTTAAGGTAAGTTATTAATGCACATTTAAATTTGTAACACCGAATTTTTAAAACATATCGAATGAATTATAACACTAGAATAATATTTATTTCCATAAATTAGGTCTCCAATCTCCAGCAACAATTTAGATTTACCAAAAAAAAAGGATTTTTATTACCGACAATATTATTTATTTCATAAAGTTTGCTTTCAGGAAGACCGAACCCCGTGCTCTTCGGATTTACTGTATGTTAAAAAAGGCCTTGGTTATCCGACAACGCAATAAATGCATGGAAGGAATTTCTGCGCTGATGCAAAAACTCGTGACCTTTTAAGTGAATTCATTATGGCTAACCGATAAGAAAGGTTATTTGCGGAATTCTGATAAAAACACATCCAGTTGATCAACGAGTAATAAATAAATTGTCGCAAAAAGTAATGATCTACAAAATATCACATATAAATAAACCGTTTTACAGCACCAAATCGGGAGTTAACAAAATTTAAATTCTTAGGATGGTTCTTTCTGATTTACTATTAACATTTCTCAGTTTTTGGGCTCTTATACACGTTATATATCGTATATTTCAATCAAGGTTTCAGGTTCAATCATCGGTAACGAGATTTTTATTTTTATTTTATTTTATTATTATTGTTGTTTTAGAAACCAAATTTCGAATACAAATAAATTTTTTTTTTCAGCATAGAATACACCATAATATATCTCGAACACCAAATAACATTAATCACCTACCAATTGTAAATATTAGTCCAGCATATCATGTATCACAACCAACCGAGATAACACTTAGCTATTTTTATCTCTGTTATAAAACAAGTAAATTTAATTCATTTTTTGAAACTCTCTCAAAAAGTACGCCAAAATTCTGGAGAATATGGTTTAATTTGGGAATTATAGTTGGAATATTAGCAATGATTTTAGGAGTTGGTGTTATGATCGTGGCAGGATGGAAATTGTTAATAGGGATCTTTAGAATTGGTACCTGGGATAATGAGAATCATGAACAAACGAGATTTGTGAAAAGAAACTTTGAAGAAGCTCATCAAGTTGAAAGCAATGAGGATCATCAAATTTTTGTACCAGTTGTAAGTAATTTTTAGTAGATATTTGCAAATTATTATGATATCCACATCACATTCAACTCAATAATGTAAAAAATTTACAAAGATTCCCGGAGTGACTTTACCAATTTCACATCTTATATATTATCTTATTGCACTTTTGGTTTGTGGAATCTTACATGAGGCTGGTCATGCAGTTGCAGCTTACTGGTAAAGTATATATATATTGTTTTTGACGAATTTTTTGATTGTTGCGTTAATTACTTTTTTCTTTATAGTGAACTTGTGCCAATAACTGATGCTGGAATATTTTTATATTTCTTTTATCCGGGAGCATTTGTTAGTCTTTCTAGTCAATTTTTGGATAATTGTTCATCGGTAAAAAAGCTTCGCATCTTTTGTGCAGGAGTTTGGCATAACGCGGTGATATTTTTATTGGGTACTCTCATCTTAAATTCTGGAATAATTAAATTATCCATGAGTCTCACCGGATACAGATCTATAGAAGGAACTGGAGTTAGCATTATTAGTATTGAAGAGGTAAGAGAAACAAACAATCATATATCTCTCCTTATTAAAGATATAATATTATTTTTTTTTTTAAAAAAAAAAAAAAATTAGAATACAGATTTTGTTGGAATATTATACCCTTCAGCGATAATAACCAAAATAGATGATTATGAATTGAATGATGCTTCATTAGAACGATGGAATACTTATTTATTGCAAAACGATAAGATAATAAATAATACTCGTGGGTTTTGTTCATCTGAAAAGGACATTATACCATCTTTAGATTGCTGTAATATTAATGCAGCTCATCCTTATGGAAATTCAGAAAACAGAGAAGTTTTGTGTTTTCGGCGATCTGATCAAAATAATTCACATTATCAGGTAAGAAAGAATAATCCTTTATAAATTAACGTAACATTAATAAAAAATTCATTATTTTTCTCTCTCCTTTTTTTTTAAAAAAAAAAAAGAATGAATTGAGTTGTCGTCACGCAAATCCAATATTAGCCAATATGAATGAACAAAGGTGTGAAAAAGATTCTGATTGTGATGAATCATTACCTACGTGTGTATTACCATATACACTTCTTGGATTCCCTAGGCCTGTAAGGATTTATTTTAAACATTCTCCATGGAATGGAAATCAAGATGAGAACACACAAAATGTTTTGTTATGGCTTGGAAATTTAAAAGATTTGTGGGAAATAATACAAGTTAGCATTCTTCAACCAAGATGGTCATGGGTTCCTCTTTGGATACCACTTGTTTCGGAATTAATTTTAAGGTAGAAAATTTATTTTAGTTTAAAGGTTTTGTTTTTAATTATTTATTTTTATGTTTTTGTAAAATAAAAAAAATTTTTTACATGATATAGGTATACGGCATCATTTTCACTGGCATTATGTATATTAAATATCTTACCTGCATTTCAATTGGATGGACATCATGCATTAATAGCAATACTGACTGTGGTATATGATGATAAAGAAGTAACGAGCACTGCAAAAAGCAGAAATCGGCGAAGGGAAAAAATTGAAAATGGGATTGTATATAGTGTAACTGGGTTGGTTGGTTGGGTTGTATTAGGAACTTTAATTTCTGGTGTATTTTTTGAAGGGCATTGAATTTTAAATCAAAATGGTACTTTTCGTAATACGTATTGTTAATTAAAAAAAGGGGGGTAAGCTTTATTTTGTACGTGGAAAATTACGAGACTCATTAATTTATCAACTTCATCTAGATCACGTGAATGGTTGGTGCAAATTTCTAACGATTTTATCTCTATTCTTAATTAAAGTACTATAGATAACAATTCTGGAATTTTTTTTTTGTTGCACTTTATAATTTCATTCAATGGTCTTATTTATGAATTCGTTTAAAGGGATATTTCTTTTATGAATTGGAGATGGATCGGATTAAATTCATTAATTTTTTTATCATAATTTCTTTATAAATCTTAGCAAAGCCCAACCCATCTGGTGTCATTCTGCTATTTCAAATTCTCTAGATAACTCGAATTCTGACGAGAACTTTTTTTGCATCTTCATCAAGTCTTTCTACTTCAATCCTGTTTCTTTCATAATCTTACCCTTCAAATAAATATATCTGCAAATCCAAGCCAAATCTCATCTTTATGGGAAAATAAATTTAATAATAAGTCAATAAATATAGCAAGAAAAGTGACGCCACTTTTATAATCGCAATAAAGCACAGCCACATTCAGAACGACGCCACGTAATAATGTATAAATATAGGTGGATTTAAGCTTTGATTGACAAAAAATTTCATTGCGATAAAATAATAAATTAAATGTTAACAAAATAAATAATTTTTTCAACAAAAGGTTTTATTTTATTTTAACAAAAATAAAAATTATATTGATAAGCATATATTTATATATTTATATATATTCATGAATAAATATTCAAGGTATTAAATTTATTTCGACCTGAATTTTGTTTTTTTTTTTTTAAAAAAAAAAAAAATTTAATATAATGTTGGAAATATAAAAACGATTGAACGTCCAAATATACAAAAAGTTGTTTGATAGTTCAACAATTACAAAATTCCCGAAATTTTTTTTATGTACAAACCAAACCTATTGTCAAATTTCTATTTTTTTTTTTTCATAAATATGGAGATTAAGAGAATATTTGGCTTATCAAAGAGAAAATCTAGCCATATGAGAAACTTTAACAAAGAAATAAAATTCAAAGAACAGTTTACAAACTTGCAGACTCAAGTACAAGAAGAAAAAAGAATGGCTTAATAAAAAATATAAAGCAAAAGGATTATTCTTGTTGTTAAAAGGCTAGCACATATTGTATCTGATCAAACTGATTGTAAGAAACAATATAAACAAAGAATAGATATGCTGGAAATTGAAAACTTTGAATCAAAAGGAAGGGATATTTATAAGGATTTAAAAAGATTGGATGTTAATTCCAGTTGGATGGTCTGGATAGTTAGGATTTTCTTTTTGGTTAAAATATTATTTGGTATCTTTCTTCTTTGATAGATGGTAGATGCAATATTTTGTGTTGAAAACTATGAAGCTGCAGGATATCAGAATAAGGATAGATCAGAATTTGCAATAGGATTTGTTTATGAAATTGGTGTAGTTAAAGAAGGGTATTTTATTTATCCTGAATATGATGTTGCTATTAAAATGACATCAAATATAATATGGCGTTGGTTAATGAAGCTGTATATAGTACAGCTAAACTTAATTTAGTGAAGGTGGTATTCGATATACTAGTGCAATTATTTTAACTGAAAAAAACTGCAAAAGCAATAGAAAAAGAAGCAGGTATTTTATAAATTTAGATAGTTAAATTTATTTATATTACTTTTTTATTATTATATAATAATATTTTTATTATAAACTAGAATTTATACTATTAATTTAATTAAAATTGCTTTTATTTTTAAACTAATATTTCAAAATTAAATATGATTTGATATTTAAATTAAGTTTTCAGTTTTTTTTTGCATAACAAATATTATAATTTCTTAATGAATATAATAATCTTATTTATTTTAATCATTTTCATATTAAATATTACTAAATATATTCAAAAAAATAAGTTTTTATAATATATGACTTTTCAAAAATTTTATCAAAATTAAGCAAATAAATAATATGACATTAATAATAAATATCATTAATTTTAAATAAATATAATATCTAATTGTTACTAAAATAATATATAGTATCACCGTAGAATTCTTCAACTCAGGGTGGTTTACGTTATTAAGTCTCTATTCAAAATTTCTAATTGCGACTTACTGCAATCAAAACATTAGGATCCGTCTAACTCTTAACTTTATCAAATTTACATGTTAGACTTAAACAAATCTATCAAGTATGAAGACTTGAAAGATGAGATTATGAACAATTTCAATTAAAAAATTCAGATGATGAACTCAATTACAAATAATATGTAGAGATCACGTTAGAGCTTACAGTTTCGTACAATGCAAAAATAAAAAATGTGCATTTTAATATTACCAAAAATGCAAAATATGCAAATAAAATTTTTTATATAGTAA